AAATCCTTAAGTGATGCTAATTGCTAAGCACCATAATTAAAAAATCAAATCGTCTCTAGCTACAAGGTAAGAACGTAAGATTCATCAGTGGACTTTGAAGATTGCATCCGAAAAAAAAAAAGCAACTCAACATTGAATTCGACCACCATGTTCTACTCGTTCCCGCGAATTTCAATGGCAAAACAACCTCTGCAATCGCCAGAGAAAGCCAGCAACGTCAAAAAGACGATCGGCTCTAAGAATCAGTCCCCGGCACAAAATCTCAGATGTCCACTGTGGAGGCCGGAGAAGTTGCCCGAGAAATTAAATCCGTTCACGGTGACTTTGGAGAATTACAACGCAGTAGATCCGACTGATTGGGGGCAGCGGTGAACGACTTCCTCGCCCGACGGCGACGACGACAACGATGGCTTCCTCTGGTCGTCCTCCTCCAAGTCCGAGAGCATTGCTAGTTGCAGGCATGGACAAAGAATATTTTTAGTATATATTACGTTTATATTCAGTATATGTTGTGTTTTTATTTACATAACATTATCTTACTTAATTTTATACCTAAAATATGTACAACATTAAAATGTAAAACATACTATANAGAGAGAGTTATACATACTAAATTACAAAACATATACTGTCGATAATTGTCATTTAATGTTACATCAATGGAGCTACATTACAATGTGATTCCCGTTCATCAGAATGGCATGGACAATTACCAAAAAAAATAAAAATAATTACAAACACAAAATAACACAACAAACATAAAAAAAATAATAAATAAATAAAAGAGAATTTCAAAGTATATATCAAAACATATCGTATATATTTGCGATCGATTATGTTGATTGTCTCACCTCTTCTGTGTTTTCTTTTATCTTGCAAACGTCTGTAAAAAAGTGCTCCGGCAGGTGGATGCGACCGGCAAAATCACAACGACGATCCTCTCTCTCAGAATTACCTTACAACCTTTTCTTTGAACTAGTGTTGATACCCGTGGGATGCACGGGGTACATTTCAAAAAATATTTTTTATTTAAATATTATAAAATTATTTAAGACAATATGAAATTATATTCTCCACAATATTCTATTCAGTAATAATATGATATTTATTTATTTACTATTATTGTTAATTTCTATTATATATATATATATATATATTTGTATTTTTTTTAACTATTTAATACATAAATTTTATTATTTATAAGTTTATAAAATATTATAAGTGTATAAGATTATATGATATTTGTATACAAATTACTTGTATGTACTCATAAATTGTCGTTTATCAGTCTTATAACTCATAATATTTATCTTCCACTATAACTATTAAGTTCATTGAATGTTAAAAACATTGATAAATAAATTTTAATTTTTAGTAACTTTAATCCTTATGCAACACACAAATTTTTAATAGTTAAATATTTTATTCTTATGTTTTCATTTTCTATTTATATTTATTTCTTTAATTCATTTTTTAAACCTATTAATGAGTTATATAGTATCTATTCGAATATTTAGATATATTATATATTTCCATAATTACCAAGCACTATAATTTAAATTATTATACATTGCTATTTTATTAACTTATTTTTCATTTATAAAATAGTATATAAGAAAAAATATATATTTTTAAAAATTGAATAGTTTTTTTAATGTACATATATACTTCTAAGGTGAAATTTATAATCTGAATTGCACCCGACCATCAAATTTTATTTTTATTAGTATATTATTTAATTTTTCAGTAGTATTATCACTGCATATGATATATTCAATGGGGATGTACCTTTTTATAGTTAAATTGACTATATTTTATAAACTTTTATTAACATTTTAAATTATTTATTAAGTTACTATGGATTTAAACATAGTTATTCTGATTATTTTATTAAATATTTGAAGTCCTTCTGAATAGTGAATATAATTAATTAAATTAATACTTGCAACCATAGATGATAATATATTTATAATAATATTTTGAATTGTGTTATTAAATTACTATTAAATTAATATAAGATTTTATTAAAAATATATCTAATAAATCTACGGTCAAAATTTCAATTTAAGCCACTTTGTAGTTAATGAGTAATAGTCATTGAGTGTATAAAAATTAATTATGTTTTTCATGCATAAGATTTGCTAATAAATAAATATTAATTAAATGTCAAATATAGACGAAAACTTTTTTCTCCCAAAAACATAATTAATTATAGATGGACTAATCCTTATTACCATAATCGGCATGATTTTAGGCGGGGATTTTTTCGTCTATATTTGTCATTTAATTAATATTTATTTATTAGCAAATCTTATGCATGAAAAATATAATTAATTTTTATACACTCAATGACTATTACTCATTAACTACAAATTGGCTTAAATTGAAACTTTGACCGTAAATTTATTACATATATTTTCAATAAGATCTTATATTAATTTAATAATAATTTATTGACACAATTCAAAAAATTATTATGAAAATTGATTTGATTAGATATATTATCATCTATGGTTGTAAGTATTAATTTAATTAATTATATTCACTATTCAGAAGAACTTAAAATATTTAATAAAATAATCAGAATAACTATGTTTAAATCATAATAACTTAATAAATAATTTAAAATACTAATAAAAGTTTATAAAATGTAGTCAATTTAACTATAAAAAAGTACATTCCCATTGAATATATCATATGAAGTGAGAATACTATTGAAAATTTATATAATATACTAACAAAATAAAATTTGATGGTCGGGTGCAATTCAGAATTATAAATTTCACATTAGAAGTATCTATGTACATAAAAAACTATTCAATTTTTAAAAATATATTTTTTTTCTTATTTATAAATAAAAAAGAAGTTAATAAAAAAGCATTGTATAACAATTTAAATTATAGCACTTGGTAATTATAGAAATATATAATATATCAAAATATTCAGATAGATACTATGTAACTCATTATATAGGTTAAAAAAATGAATTAAAGAAATAAATATAAACAAAAAATAAAAACATAAAAATAAAATATTCAATCATAAAAAAATTGTATGTTGCATAAGGATTAAAGTTACTAAAAATTAAAATTTATTTATTAAAGTTTTTAACATTTAATACACTTAATAATTATAGCGGAAGATAAATATTATGGGTTAAGCGTTAGTCTATTATCAAGCAATGTGCAAATTATGAATTGTTAAAAAATTTATAAGACTATGATAAACGACAATTTTATAAGTACATACAAGTAATTTGTATGCAAATATCATATGATCTTATACATTTATAATATTTTATAAACTTATAAATAATAAATTTATATATTAAATAGTCAAAAACTAC